TATAGTATATTTATAATTCATCTTTTTAAGAAAGAGAAACAGAAGATTGAAAGTTGTAGAAATATAAATTTTCTGAAGTTTATAATTTTTATAAATATTTGGGAAAAAATTCTATGCATTTTGTGTGAGTTTTATGAATATTATGAAATATTTATGGATTTTTATATATATGGAAATTTTAGTTTAAAAAAATTTTAAAAATTTGTGAATTATTTTAGAAATTTTTGCCATAGGGTGTCTCCGGCTTTAGCATCATTTAAAAATAGCGGATTAACTGAATTAAGCATAGCGAGTGTAACGTGCATTTCGTAGAACAAGGACACTGAATGATTCGCAAAAGCGAAGGATATCGTAAGGATAACGCATTTTCGATAAGCCGTAAATATTATTCGCGTGTCATAAACGCGTTGCAAACATGCAAACAAAAAATGTCGTAACGGGATTATAAACGGGTTTTATCGTCGAACATTAAATTTCTCCAGTGTTATTAGCGGGTTAATGGAACAGTTCGAAGTTAATTGCGTTACGATGCGAGGGATAAATTTCTAGAGAAAACCGAGTCTTTGATATACGATGGATGATAAATTATTACGCCTTTTTCTCACTTTTTGTTTTACCTATCGTTCAGCGAAATGTCGCGAATAAAATACTGTAAAAAAAAAGGGAAAAAGTGACTTTTAAACTCTTTGCAAATAAAATCTAAATTCTTTTACAAATTTTGTGAAAGAAAGATACTTAATAAGAAATATTTAAATTTATTTTTTCCTGTTATTGTTGTTCGAATCCTATTATTCCTGTTTAATTGTTACAGGAGTTTATACTCTTAATATAGCCGAATAGTACTTTTATAGTGGATCGTAATATCAGGGCTATAAATGCTAATAGCTGTAACCGTCGGCGATTTTAAGCGTTCCGTAAATCAAGCAAGGTGATTTTAGAGGACGCGTTTTAGTTAACGACACCTTTTTCAGAGACAAATCAATATACATCGGACGATTACTCGTTATTCTCGTCTCGAAGGCCGCGTGCCCGTTCCATCGCGCGCGCAATCGCAACAGTTGCAAAATGCACGATATTTATCGTAATGAAAGAATGAAGAGACGAAGTCTCTTTCC